ACCTACTAAAAATCTGTCTGCCCTCCCACAGTCTCCACAGGAGGCATGGAGAACATGGTTATGGGAATTTAGTAATGAGGTCCTTTCACTGAAAAAAGTCCTCTACCATTTCTGTAAGCTGGGTGCCAATTATTCCACTGACGTGGAGCAGGAAAAGAGAACAACACTGATAAATTAGGTTCAGGCCAGCATTCTCGGCATGTATGCAAGACAAAACATAAATTGGATCTTGATGAAATGCTGCAGAAGGGAAATGTGTGGAGCATATCCAGCCAATCCCTGCACTAAACTATAGCAAACAATTTCCTTGCATTTAAAAGAATGCATAGGTAAGAAAATCCATTTTTAACACTGGCACTCCATGCCCTCCCTCAAAAGAAGTTTGGTGTTTACATCAATTTACTTAAAACTGACTCTTGGCAAAGGTAAAGTAACCATTTGCCCATACAAAATGCAGGGGGAAAGAAACAACAATCTGTGGCTTGTTATCCTTGCCTAACCAGATGCTGGTCTCTAATGATGTCAGGTCTTTGAAAATTGTTTCATATAGTGAAGGAATCTTGTTGCCACTCAGCAGAAGAATGGTCCCCCTTTTTTTCCTCCTCGTACACTGGCTTTCTTTCAGCAAGCTGATCAGAAATGCAAAAACCCAGAGCATTTTGTTCAACAAGTGCGGAAATCACTGTGTACATAAAACGCATAAAATAAACATGCTCAAGGAGGAGGGGGGAAATGAAATTAGCAATTTGTTTCCAAGGGGCAAACATAACATACACAAACTGCATGCTATTTTTCTCTTTATTGTGCCTCCCACAAATTGAATAGATTTGATTCTGCTAGCCTTACCCATCCAGAGCCGTAATACTGCACCAAATAGCATAAGAAAGCCCTGTAATCTAGAAGTTTCAATACAACCAGCCTCTGTTATAGCCGGGTCTTGTTCTTCTGCAGTGCAAAATGAAATTTGCATGGGAGGATGTGTCAGCAATATTCATTTGAAAGTAGAAATACAACTATGAGATGATCTCCTGTATCCCATCATGTGGTTATTAGAAAATCTTACATTATATTTAGGCTGGAAACATACCATACAGGCCTCTTCCACACAGTTGAATTAAATCCCACATTTTCTGCTTTGAACTGGGTTATATGGTAGTGTGGACTCAGATAACCCAGTTCAAAGGAGATATTGTGAGATTTTCAGGCTTGATGTTATGGGTTATATGGTTGTGTGGAAGGGCACAGAATATGGAGGACGTAGAAAAGCTTACAAATAATTTCGGGAGTGGGAGATTTTTTTGGAGTGTGGGTAAGTGAAACCATGGATATTGAGTCCATGGATAAAAGGATCATACCATACAAAGAAACACTGAAAATCTGAAATTTAGACTCAGTGAACTTTATAATATGTTTTTGAGTAATAATTGGTTCTCAGAATATCTCAACCAGCATGAACTTTTCTGAGCTCCAGTTTTAAGGCTTAAACTATTGTTTTTTAAAGAGATTATCTAGGTTCTGAAAAGTTACTATGGATTCTGCATTTGATAAAGGAATTTGCACTGGATTTTGCTCTCTCAGAGTAGTCAAACTTGATGTATATTTGCTATGTACAATTCAATGTAAGAAATATCCAAAACTTTGAGAAATGCAATTCTTAGTTCGGTGTCTATTACAATTTTTGACCATAAAACCTCTCTACTGAAATTGAATTGACATTTAATTGAATGTTATGGTTTGTCAATCTGTAAGTTATTGCACATGCAAATTATCACTATGATCTGTGAGTTTTCTCATTATACTTTATCACTTTTAGCTTCTCCGGTCCAGCTTTTTCCTTCAGTTTATTGAATCCAAAAAGCTTTACTGTGTTATACATATATATTCAGAAATAAGTCCCACTTTGTTCAGTGAGAGTTACTACCAAAAAAGTAGTATACAAGGGCAGCCTTAGATATGGTCAAATACTGAAAAAGTTTTCACTACAACTGCAGGAATCTCCCAGTCATCATTACCACAAAAGCAATGTTTTAGAGCGTTGGACCTGTTCTGTTATTAGGTTGGTAGTTTATGTAATCTTTATTGCAATCCTGTTGATCACTGACACAACAGCTGCTTACCCTGATTCAGATAACCAAGCTAGAAACCTAGAAATGCATATTTACTTTAATAAATAAGTTTAACTGTAATGAAAGGGTCTTAGTCTTAATGTATAAATTATTTTCATTCATTTCAAAGACAACCTTCCACGGAGTCCCTTCTTCTTCACCAGTGCATGCCACCGTTGTTGGAAAGGCTTATTGTGCATAGGTGCTAAAGGAAACAACCTTAAGTAGTTTTATGTTATATGCTCAAGCTTATTGTTTTTTTTCTCTTTGCAACACCCTGTATAGTAGCACTGCCAGTCAATGGCTTTTGAGTCATGTCATCTCACTTCAAATAAAATTAGAAGGTCTTGAACCTGATCCTCAAAATAGGTTCAGTACTCTGGATGGCTACTTCAAAATTCAGACTAAAACCACAGAGAGGGTTCACCTGCCTACCAATGTGAAAGCTCCCAACTAATATTCAGTACTAGAATCTGAATTATGTTCTGATTTCTGCTATGCTCATTCTTTATTTAAACAATGTCATCAAGGCATTTGAAACTTCCAGTTATCTTATGACTGAAACATACATGGGCCTCCTTTGATATAGTGGCACTTGTTTCCAAGAAAAAGGACCAGAGACACTTGGCAGCATGGAGCCTGTTTAACATAATTTGCCAGATTTTGCCATTTTGATCCACTGCACAATCACAAATCAGGTTTTGCCTCTGAAGATATACTTAGCAGGCCCTGGACTGCCAGTCCTAGCTGTGTATGATTCATGTGCTCCCAGAAAAAGCTTGTTCCATCTGCTTTTCATAATCTACATATTGGTGTATTTAAAACTCGATGGGTCTGTATATCTTTTTTAAAAAATAAAAAGATCATGTGTAAAATAGCTCTAAGTATGCTTGTTTTCAAAGAAGAGCAAAGCTATGAAACTCAACAGTGTGCATGGCTTTCTTCACCAACCATTTAGGATCATTAACTACCCAAAACAGACTTTATGTACAGAATTCAACATTTACTATTTGGTCTGGTGATGAAAAAAGAATCACAATTCTGTTGTTTGTAAAATTGCTAACTGTAAGTAAACTTTATAATGGTTGATGACCAGATCATAACAGGGAGACAACTGGTATCAACATGCTTAACTCCTTTTCAAGAAAACACTGTCAAAGCCACACAGCAATAGACTGTCAGTTTATGTACTGAAATAATCTCAAAAACCTTTAATATGCAAAGCATTTCTTACATGACAGGGAAGGACCATTGTGGCGCTCCAAATGTGGTTGAACTACAATTACCTTCACTCTTGATACCAGATGCTAATAGGTATCCACACTGTCCTACAAAGGAGTTAGCTTGCCAGTTCTGAATCATAAGTGCTTTCTTACTTATCCTTGATACTTCTATACATTTTGGCAATTACAGAATCATAACCTAAATACAGTCCCATATGTCTAACAAAATACAGTGTGTTCTCTCTAAGCATTTTCAGGTCCTTCAGTATGACTCCATAGCATTTTAAGGCAGAAGTCCTTCATTTTAATAGGTTTCACTACTATTACTGTTTCACACATCCATGCAAATTCCAGAATTGTATCCTCTGCAAATATGGAGGTCATGCTATATATTACACAGCAACCTGATTAGCAAATCCCTTAAAAATATTCTCTTTATCCCTCATGAATAATATTCATATTAGAAATGCAAATAGTGCAGAAGAGAGCCAAAGCCGTGTTTGTCAAAAAAATTTAAAACACTGGATCAGGGAAATACAACTATTCCTGGATCAGATTTGGTGACCCCAGCAATCATTATCTCAGAATCCATGAACTGACATGAAATGTCCTTATGCAAGCCAGTTTTCTTTCCTCATGCAGAGATAACAAATGTGTCCGGTCCACTATAAGAATATAAAAAGAACCATGCAACATTAGATTTATCTAGTTTTGCATTCTAGTCATACAATGGCCAGTCAAAAGTATGACAACAATACATGAACACAATTGTTTCTTCCATTTTGGTATTCCCAACAACTGTGATACACAGCCATTCTAACTGGCAGCTACTGGTAGCCCTCTCCCCCATTAAGTATTCTAATCTTAAATCCATTCAAGTGACAGCCTTCACTACCTAAGAGTAAATTTCACTGTTTAGTTATTTATGGTGAATTACCATACATAATCATATATAAGTCTACCTTAGGTATAAGTCAAGGGAAGGTTTTGGGAGTAAAATTATGGATTTTGATATGACTTGTGGATAGCTCAACAGTTATTTCATGGAGAGTGGAAATCACCAATGCCACCTCAGGGGACCACCCGCTGCTGCCATTTCTCCACTCAGACCTTCTGAAAGGCCAGAAGTGGCTACATGGTGGAGAGTAGAGGAGATCTGTGCTTCTTTTAGGTTCTCCCAGGACAGACTAAGACCTTGCTTTTCAGTGCTTACCTTTTGTCACCATACTCAGAGTAGGGGTGGTTCCTTTTTATATATAAGAGTTAATGTACAATACTCACGCTGACTCATTGATAAGACATCCCAGATTTTTTGGGTTGACTTTTTTTTTTACTAGAATTGATGAGAATGGGCTGTTTCCCGCCATCTAAATTCAGGAAATCCTCATAGGTTCTAGCTTTATGAGAAAACATTTGAACTTTCAGAACTGTGCAAGAACTGCTGTGCTAAACCCAGAGATGTGAAATTCATGGAAATTTTGCTTAGTCTTTCAAGCCCCAAATGCTGGCCCAAAAACAAAACTATCAAATTAAGCCATATGGAAACTGGCCAAGTGGCAACCACAAACATGCAATTGAGAGTTGGTTCACAGATACTTCTGCAGTACACCTCTGCTTCTGAACTTTATAGAAAACAAGATGCTTTGTTCTGGGACAAAACTGTAGTTCCTACCTGAACTCTGGCCTCTGTGAGTTCTGTTCTCAGGGCCAGCTGCTCCCTTACATAAACATCGGGGTAATGGGTTTTCTGGAACACTTTCTCCAATTCCTCCAGCTGCAAACTCGTGAAAGTGGTCCGGTGCCTCCTCTTCTTGCTGCTGGAGACATTGCTGTCGCACTTATCTCCAAGTTCATCCAGATCTCCTTTCTCCTGCATCCCTTTCACGGGAGATAGGCGGAGGCTGCTGCAGTTGTCCAAAGGCCTCCCCAGCTCCGTGTGAAGAGGCTGACCTTCAACTTTCGTAATCCCATAGGTCACTGTGCAGCACAAGGAAACAAATTTGGTTGGGTTTGTTGCATCTTACATTTAGAAGCAGTGTATGTGCGTATGTGCATGGACTTAAAAATACTTTTTTTCACCACAGCTCCCAGAATTCCCTGTCAAAATATTGTTTTTGCTGCTGCTATTGTTTGAAGGAAAAGGAAAAGAAGCAAAAGGAAGATGTACATGTTGAGCATCCTTTATCCAGAATTCTGAAATTTGAAATAGTCCAAAATCATCCACACAAGAGTAGCTGGACTGTTTTAATTGTTTTATGATTGCTGTTGATACATGTTTTATTTTTATTATCTGTTTTGTTGGCATCAAATTGTGCCTTTTGTAAGCCGCCCTGAGTCCCCCCTCAGGGGTTGAGAAGGGTGGGGTACAAATGCGCGAAATAAATAAATAAATAGCTGAGATAGGGACAGTTCTGATTCTCATGATTCAATGTAGACAAAGTTTGCTTCATGCACAAAAATATTTTAAAATAGGATATGAAAAGACCAGTTGGCTATGTGTATAAGGTGCATATGAAACATGAATGAATTCCATATTTAGACTTGGGTCCCATCCCCAAGATATTATTCGTTATGTACATGTGTGCAAATACATGAGTTTCAAAATCTGGGGAAAAAATCCAAAACACTTCTGGTTTTAAGCATTTCAAATAAGGGATACTTAGCCTGTAAATCATAAAGTTATGTTGTTGGTGCATATCTTTAGGATTTTTCCAATGTATAGAGACCCTATAATGAACCCATCATGATGTTTTCTTGGCAATATTTGTTCAAAAGAGGGATGCTATTGGCTTCCTTCTGAGGTTGAGAGAAATATTTTTTGCTCAAAGTCAGCCAATGGCATTTCATTTTTGAACAGGGATTCAAACTCTAGTCTCCAGAGTCATCATTCAAATTACAATACCAACTTACAATGAAATTAATTTAGACTATTTAAAATTACAAACAGGAAAAGCAATGTAAACACTTGTAAAAGTTAGAACAGTTTAAAACAACAAAGTGCGCAGACCTGAATGAAATCATTATGTCCCGACGTCTTAGCTTTGGCAGCATAATCACTAGAAAAGTTGTCTAGGGAAGTCTGGCAGTCCGAACAAGTAACTTTCTCAAGTCCTAATAGATTAATAGATGGACAGTCTATGTCTAGTACCTATGAGGAATTTCTATTTGTGGCTCATAGGTTGTGTAGACTACTCCTTCTCTGGATCAACAGGAGTTTCAGTCCAACAACAACTTTCTGTCTTCTAGATATGGTCTTCAAGATATATAGTATTGCTGATCTGCCACGGCTAGCATTGTAAATCATTGGTGAAGGTAGTGGAGCTGTAATTCAGCATCTTCTGGAGCATACAGACTCTCGACTTAGAAAAACAAATATTCTCAACAGAATCATCCCACATCTGTCTACTCATAAGAATCATTTATTTACATGCTTATTTCTTTTATGTGCTGTCTCTCTCCCAACACAGAACTCAAGAGTGTTTATGCACTCCAATGAGATTTGCTTTGAGGTAAAGCATAGATATAGTGGTTTGAGTAGTGGATTATGACTCAAAAGCAGAGTTTGTATCCCCGCTCTGCCTTGGCAACACATTGGTAGGTCACACTGTCTCCAACTCAGAGAAAGGCAAAGGCAATATCCTCTCAACAATTCTTGCCACGAAAAGACTGTGGGTCCTTCCGCACAGCCACATAACCCAGAACATCAAGGCAGAAAATCCCACAATATCTGCTTTGAACTGGGTTATCTGAGTCCACACTGCCATATATTCCAGTTCAAAGCATAAAATGTGAGGTTTTATTCAGCTGAGTGGAAAGGGCTTGTGAAAGAGCCTCCTTAGGGTTGCTACAATCTGGAAATCACTTGAAAGCACACAAGCACAACAACATTGTCAAGGACTATGGCCTAAGAAAGATTATTTGAAAGTTTTTTTACATATTAGCTCTCATCACTTTTACTTGGGAGAAAATCATATTGCAATGGAATTTACTTGAACATAAATTTATTTATAATTCCTGTTACATATTTTATGTCTGTAAGTCAAACAAAGAACAGTATAGAAAATCAGATCAAAATAATATTACAAATGTACAGTTCAATACTATAAATGTATGTTTAGAAGAAAATCAAACATTTGTGATGGCACTTATTCTCCAGAAAGTCTGTTCAGCTCCGCAGAGGCATAAGGCTGTTATGACAACACATTAACACTGTGTAAGCCGCTCTGAGTGCTTTGCAGCTGAGGAACGGGGTAAAAAGTACACAATGTAACACAAATTTTGTTCCTGGGTTATACATTTCATTTCCCAGTTGGTTATATCATAAAAACATGGTAAACATTTATTAAACTGCAAAAACTTTGGTTTTGCACATACAATTAAACAGGAAATAACACAAACCAGGAACAGGTTTTTTTTTCAAATTCTGTTACACAGTGTTATATAAATAAATGAATTAATTAAATAATAAATAATGCAATCGTGCCGGAAACCAGTCCAAATATGTTTGGTGAGAGTTTCTTTCAGGTAACTATGCATACATTTGGACTCTTCCAATGCAAACCTAGCATATCTACTAAATATTGTAAATTTACTAAACTCACAAGTAAGTCATTGTGAGTTTAGTGAGGTATACTTCCAAGTGAATCTGAGTAATACAGGAGATGTAAACACTTCAGCTACAATTCTATTTGCACTTACCTGAGAGTAAGCGCTTTAGACCCACTGACCTAAATTCAGTTGTTTATCACAAATAGAATAAGGAGGAATTTGGAAAATAAATACTTCTGTGAGATCAATCTATGCAATGGGTTTGTGCTTGATAGTAGTTGAGATTTAAACCTGGATCAGTTGAAGCATATGCCATTGGAATGGGGCATTTATGGATGTAGTATAACACTTAGATAGAAGTGAGTATGGTTGTTGAATTCAATAGACATGCATGTGTATGCATGCCTTCAAGTTACCTATTCATTTATGGTAAACACATGAATTTCATAGGATTTTCTTAGGCAAGGAATACGCAGAGGTGTTTTTGCCAGTTCCACCTTTGAAAATAACCTACAGCAACTGGTATTTCTTGGAGATCTTCCATCCAAGTACTAACCAGGACTGAGCTTGCTCAGCTTCCAAGATCAGAAATTATCAGATGCCTTCAGGGTACTTAGAAATAACCATTCCAAATGATTCCAAATCACTGTATTTGATATTCAGATGAAATCCCAATTAAAATTATTAGACAGAAGAATGTAACAAAGAGACATTAAAGAGCATATCATTATCTTAAATTACAAAGGGTAGCAGGAAAGGAAATAAAAATGACCCAAATTTTCCCTCCTCCACAAAAAAAGAAAGGAAAAAAAAGAAAAAAAAGGCTTGGCTTTGTAGAAATTTGTGGTTTTCTGCAAAATTATTGTGTCAAACAGATTGTCTTCTATATTTAGTTACAATGAACCATTTGTCCTTGGGAAAACATAAGAATATGATTAAAGATGGGTGGGCAATATGAGGAAATTTCTCTCCTTCTCCCCTCCCTAAGAATTTTGTCCCCCAAATGAAATTTTCCTTCAGTCCTAAATTTCTAAAGTTGCAATAACTTAAAATGTCAGTTGCACATTAGCAAATACAAAGAAAAAGGGGCAAGGGAATGCCAACACAGCCAATATAAACAATTTAAGTGTGAAATATTTTCAGCGCCAAACTCCTGCCAATGGTAGGAAAGTCATGGGTACGCAGAATTCATTTGAGAGGACTGTTGCCCTCTTTCCCACGTAGCCGAACATTTGTCTCTTAAGCCTCAGAGGAAATATACAGTGTTTCTTGGAATATGCCACATTTCCAAGAAGAGTGGTGCATACTATAAGACTGGAAAATATCTTCACCTTTTCCTGGTTCTTTTAATTTTGGACAGGTGCGGGGTGGGACAGGGATTCCAGCCTTTCGAAAGCAGTAAAACTTTACAAAGGATGGCACCCAAGGTGCCCTTAGGACCTTGTTTTAACAGCTCTCTTCCACTCCCGGTAATTTCATTAGTTAGTTTGGTATAATTTTAACCAGACGCAGGCTGCAGTCCAGTTTCCCTCAAGGTAAAAGCCTTACTGAAAACATTGAGGCTAACTTCCAAGTCTAAACTGGATGCATCTACACTATATGGTTGTGCGGTTTGACACCACTTTAACTACCATGGTTCAATAGTATAGAATCATGAGGGTTGCAGTTTTAGCAGTCTTTAACCATGTTGTATTCTGCCTCCAGCACCAAGGAGAGGCGTAATAAATAATAATAATAATTATTATTATTATTATTATTATTATTATTATTATTATTATTATGCCTTTTCTGCATAAGTGCCTCACCAATCTGTTAATCCCAGGATTTCATAGCATCGAGGCATGATAATTAAACTGGTATCCAGCTATATTATCAGGATTTATTTGTATTTTATGAAGTTTTTACTTTACTTTTTTAATTTTAATTTTTAATGTTTGCCATGGTTGCTAGAAACCACCCTGAGTGTCCTTCAGGGAGATAGGGCAGTCTACAAATATTAATAATAATAATAATAATTTTACAGTATAGAATAGCTGCAGCAACTGCTATTAAGAAGCAGGCCTCACTGACTTCAATTGAGATTCACTTACAGTAAACATCTTTAGGTTGGGGGCTGTAAATTAGGATAGGAATTGGTTAGGTTTTCTCAGCAGGAAGGTTTTCAAATCAGATGGGAGGTACATCATGTAAATTAGCTAATTGGCAAGGTTTATGCTCTGCCAGAATTCTTTTCAGCTAAATAGGCGTATACTGTTATTAAATCATTTTTACTGTCTTCTAGCGTTTTCCTAAACCAAATTGAGAATCATGCAAATGTTATGATAAACCATTACATACAAACAACGTTAGACATATTACATTTAAGTGTGTAACCATGACTGGAAAAAGATGAGAGCAGAATATGAAATAAAAGATCTGTCTGATTTTTT